CGCAAAGAGGGCCAGAGACCCGAGAACAAGAACAAGAACCGCTACAAGAACATCCTGCCCTGTGAGACACACACACACACACACACCCCGCTCTTTGTTTGTAAAAGCCTGAGGGCGGCCTGAGGGCTGACCCCTGCTCTGTGTGGGCCTCTGCTTCCAGTCGACCACACGCGGGTGGTGCTGAACGACGGCGACTCCAACGAGCCGGGCTCCGACTACATCAACGCCAATATCATCATGGTAGTATCTGCCGCCATGGTAAACTCGCCTCATCCTCAGGACACACACACACTCGCACTGGCTGTGCCCAGGGTCCCCGGCTGACCGGTCGTCTCCCGGTGGCCCCGTTTGGCCCGTCGGCTGACCGGCTTCTCTCACTTTTCTCGCTTTTTGATGCGCAGCCGGAGCTGGACTTGAAGTGCAACAGCGCCAAGCTGAAGAAGAGATACATCGCCACTCAAGGCTGCCTGCAGAACACCATCAGCGACTTCTGGCGAATGGTGTTCCAGGAAAACTCCCGGGTCATCGTCATGACAACCAAAGAGGTGGAAAGAGGGAAGGTAAGCAAGGCCGAGCCGACAGGTGCTCACCCGGTTCGCCCCGGCCGCACCGGTCAGGCTCCACCTGCCGTTAGCTCGGGATACTTCAGCCAGGAACCGAGCACTGGGCCGGGTCTTTTTTTGTCGAGAACCGTGAGGTAAAAAGAGGGTCTAAGTGGGGCCTCAGGGGCACTAACAGTGGCTAGATGGAACAAGAACTGTTTGACTTTGAGGGCATTTAGATTCATCGGCCATCTGAGTAGCCGTGAGAGAAATAGCCTGCCATGCATCCACACACAGACTGCAGGCATGAGGCTTTATTTTGAACCCTTAATGCCATCTCCACTAGTTTCCCTCAGGCAAGTGGAAGCAACGGCTCATTGGCCCAAAACCACTGGTCACAGCAGTCTTTTCTTCCAGGTGAAACGACTGTTTATGGGTTTAGTTACTGTCCAGACTTGCTCAAATGTGGCTGGTGTTATTATGTGCTTCCTCAAAACCGTTTCGCAACAGTTTCTTCTTGAGTTCTTCTCATGGCTCAGATCCAGATCCAGCGCGGCCTGCTTTCCTCTTCCAGAGGGTTCAAAGGCAGTCGTAGCCATCAAAACCAGCAACGAAATTCCTCTTTGCTCCGTGGGATGCTCACATATTACAAACGGGGTTTAGGAGCTTTGTGGCTTCTTCTTTATTTTGCTGAGTGCTGTTTTTTAAGCGGTTCATGAGCATCAGTGTCTTTTCATAACTCTGGTCCCTAGTGGTTGTCTCTAAGCGAGCGTGGCTGTGATCCCACAGAGTAAGTGTGTGAAGTACTGGCCCGACGCGTCGGCGCTGAAGGAGTACGGCGCCATGCGCGTCCGCAACGTCAAGGAGACGTCGGCCCACGACTACATCCTGCGAGAGCTGAAGCTGTCCAAAGTGGGGCAGGTGGGTGTCTTCAGATGCTTAATGAATGACTCCACCCCTGCTGCCCGGGTTGGAGTTCAAATCACCCCAAAGCGGCCTCTCGATCCGGTTCCCAGGGCAACACGGAGCGCACGGTGTGGCAGTACCACTTCAGGGCCTGGCCGGACCACGGCGTCCCCACCGACCCGGGCGGCGTGCTGGACTTCTTGGAGGAGGTCAACCTGAAGCAGGAGAGCATTCTGGACGCGGGGCCGATAGCGGTCCACTGCAGGTGCAAACACACGCGCGAATTGGCCAGTTGCCAGGCGAGGGGCGGCTTTAAGGCGGCGCTAACGCAGACGCTTTGGCTGTGCCCCCCAGTGCAGGGATCGGCCGGACGGGGACCTTCATCGTCATCGACATGCTGATCGACGTGATCAGGGAAAAAGGTGAGATCGGATCCTGGTCCTGTCAGACTGCGGCTGCCTGAGCCGTGTCCCTAAAAAGGGTTTAAATGGAAGATCCTGAAGACACTTATTATAAACAGAGGGATGAATAGTATTTATTTGTAAATCTAATAGTTGGTCATAGTTTTTTTTTCTTTTTCTTTCGTCTGTTTCCATACATATATTATTTTGTTGTTTATTATCTTTTCTTTTTTGTATGACATCATTTTGCTGCCAAGATTTTTATACCAAATGCTGCAAAAAGCTCTAATTGATTACAGCCACTGTTCATAGTCTTATTGCTATCATTACTGCTATCATTATCACTGCTATCATTATCATTAGTATCAATATCATTGCCATTTTTTCATCTAGTCTATGTATTACTGTGTAGGCTGCCTCTCTTTGCTCCCTCTGCACTTCTCTTGCCCTCTCTTTTTCTCACCCCCAACCGGCCGAGGCAGATGGCCGCCCACCTTGAGTCATGGAAGTTTTTCCTTCCCTGTGTCGCCTAGTGCTTGCTCTTGGTGGGAATTGTTGGGCTTCTGTAAATAACCTCAGAGTTAATTGTATTCTACTTGCACATAAAATCAGTGACCGCATTGTTCCGATAAAGGCGTCTAAACGTGGGCTCTCCCTGCTGTAGGGGTGGACTGTGACATCGACGTGCCAAAGACCATCCAGATGGTGCGCTCCCAGCGCTCCGGCATGGTGCAGACGGAGGCCCAGTACCGCTTCATCTACATGGCCGTGCAGCACTACATCGAGACGCTGCAGCGCCGCATAGAGGAGGAGCAGGTGGGCGCCGCACCCTGACCCCGCCCCCCTCTCCCCCCCTCTCCCGAACCCCCCCTCTCCCCGCTCCGGTACCGGTACCCATCTGCCCTTTGTCCTCCACAGAAAAGCAAGATTAAAGGCCGCGAGTACACCAACATTAAGTACTCTTTGTCCGACCTGACGGGCGGAGAGCAGAGCCCCCTGCCGCCCTGCACCCCCATCCCCACCCCCGTCTGCGCAGAGTGAGTGGAGCTGAGAGCAAAACCCCCCCCCCCAGGTCATTTTCCAGCTGTTTCTGTTCTGACTGGAGTGTGCTGTCGCCTGCAGGATGAGGGACGACAGCTCCAGAGTGTATGAGAACGTGGGTCTGATGCAGCAGCAGAAGAGCTTCAGATGAGACTCACCT